CTTAATTATTTCTGTTTCATTGTTTTAGAACCCTATTGAAGATGGAAGAATAAGCTAAGGAGATTTACTAGTGTTACATTTGAACTGGAAACTAACATCCAACTCACAATGTATCAATGTTGTTCATACCGCATATTTAGAATTATTAAACCTTACAATTATAGAGGCATATGCAGGTCAAAGAATTTTATTTATTTTGGATACTTCCCTTTGGCTTTTTTCTTCTGTGACAAGGGACCTTGGTGTTTAAGGTCTAATTCGAAAGACTCGTAGGAAAAAGACACAACCTATGTTAACGACCTCCCCTACGTTAACGACTTTGAATGGACGAATCGCAAAAATCGAATCCGGGCCTCCCGATTACAAAGCGAGCACCCTACCACAAGGCCACCTTGACTGGTCAACGGTGGAGAAAGAAAGAGTTGAGATGCGGGAATATGAATATAAGAAGGAAGTTTCAAATTTTATTAATACTTTTTAGTCGTAGTATTTTGTGGTCCAAATTTCAACCACAGACTTCAGGATCTATAGAACAATTTCACAGAGCCGAACATGCACTTTGAACTGTTTTACTTACGCACTATATTGGGTTTTCGGACTAATGAACCTTCGGACTAGTGGGCCTTCGGACTAGTGAACCTTCGGACTAGTGGGCCTTCGAACTAGTGAACCTTCGGACAAGTGGACCGTCGGACTTGTGGACCGTCGGACTAGTGGACCTTCGGACTAGTGGACCGTGACCTTATCCCATGCCTGTTCCTGCCTTGACCACTTTTTGTCATGGCTTTCTAATTACATATTTTACATATATAGGAGCAGAAATGCTACTCTGTTACAAGTTTATGGAAGCTAAATATGTGCCTGTGTTTAAACCACCCAGACTGTTTCATATGGGAGTACCCCCCCCCCCCTCCCCCCTTATGAACACACAGCTGATGCTCATACCTCCTGTTGTTTACAATTACATGTATGTAGCGTGTAAATTCAGTTAATGTGTCAATTTATATTATTTATTAATTCAAAGCTAAGTTGAGTATATTTCTAGATAAGGATTCAATATGTACACAAAAATTCACAAACAGGGTCGGAATCGGTATTCAGTCAAGTTCAAGGTCAAAGTGAAAGTAGTGTACTCAATGTACGCAGAGTCTTGCAGTATGTAAGTGACATGCATGTGCCATTTTATAAAGGGGTATACTGAAAACTATTTTCATGGAACAGGATTACATGAATGAGGACATGTACATTCTTTGGAAGCAGTCAGTCAACTTACTCAAGTGTGTTTGAACATGCACGCTAACATTTTTCATATTTTATTGATAGCATGATACATGTATTAATTTTGTCTAATGTATTATTTGTCACCATGGTCAGTAAAACATGCTTTTTACCTGTATTAATTATTTAACAAAACAATATTGGGACTTAAATCAGTGCAAGATGAAGCAAATTCATAATTTATGATTATTTTCAAATTATGGCATCAAACAGCTGATAAAGGGAACATGGAAGGTTTGTTTGTGTGTAATGTCTGTCTGTGAATGTTTTAAGTGCATGTTTTGTGATACTGAAATATATAACATCGATTTTTTTAGGTTCATGGTGATACAGGAAAACTTCAAGGTTCCTGCAGATGGTGTTGAAAACTATTGGCCAGTAAACACAAATTAAACCCATTTAATTACATCTTGAATCTTCACCAGTAGAAAAAAGATGGCAGTACTTTTAATGCGTAAGTAGAATTGTTTTAAAAAGCTTCTTTTTTTGTTTTGGGTGGAATGAATGATTAAACAAATACATGAGTTGAAATCTCTTTAATACAGGGTGTTTCAACAAACATATCCTGACTTTGCATGTCTAGTGCTTCTTTTACTACTTCACTCATGATTTTATGAGTCCATCAAAAAAGGAAAGATCAGTGTTTTGTAACGATTTATCTAAAAATAAACATTACAATGTACTTTTTATAGTTTTTTGAAAGAAACACTGCATTTACATGAAGTGTTTTATTCCAAAGATTTTTTAAAATCTCATGATCATGCAGGAAGTATGATTATATTCATAATCTCGTTCTTTACACCCAAAATGTTTGACATCTTTTTTTATGTATCATACCCTGTACAAAATGTTCCACCTGGAGAAAAAGGTGTAATCAAGACAGAATTCTGGGTAAAATTCCAGGCGTAAAACTTACTATAACTCTTAAAGCAATATAAGCGGAAACCAAGCGTTAACCAAGCGGAGACTAGCTGAAAATTTGTGGCGAAAATGTAAATTAGCTCCGCCTGGAAATTGACATTCTGCCTGCATGGAAATTGAAATTCCACCTAGAATTAAAATAACAGGATTCCTTCCAAATATAGATTCCGTCTCAACTGTCCAAAGTATTTCTTTTTATAATTTCCAGCTATTTTCCCCCTGAACTAAATTCAGCCTAGAATTTGATGACTGGAATCTGTTAAATTTAGGCGGAATCTCTGAGACGGAATATCAGAAAGTTCAGTCTCCCCCTGTATTACGCCTGGAATTTGTGCATTCCAAGTGGAATATCCTTGGTGTCCAGTCAAATTCTGGGCGGAATCCACCTCAATTGTTGGTACAGGACTAAATCATGATCACTAAAATGTTTACTAATTTCACATCAGTCAGTCGTAAAATTTGAGCGCCAACTTGACTCTGAATTACCTTACTACCTGCCAAGAAGCTAGAAAGCTAAAAATACATGCCGGTTTTTTTTAGTAAAGGTTGTTGAGAATCATAATTTATTCATTTTGTTTTCCAGAATTTTTCCTTGGTCTGTTTGGCTTATTACCTACAGATTTTATTAGTCCAAATGAAAATGTATTAGTCTGATGAGACTAACCGACTAACATTAGTGTCAGAAACCCTGACATTAGAAAATCTCAGGCATATGTCTAGTCAGACCATGCTTACACTGTATAAAACATGATGCTGGAAAGTTGAATTGAAAATTTAAGTCTCCTTTATCAGTCTCTACCAAAAACTTTTAACTAAATCAGTAGAATTAATATATAATTCATAGTCTTTCCCAAGTGTTTAGACTTTATATTTTGCAATAATTACTTAAGTGTTCATTATTAATATCCCTTATCTTAAATCCTGAAACTGACAAATCACAGTAGCCTAGACGGTAGTTGTTGCCGGTACTCGCATTATAATCAATAGGTCCCTGTTCAATTCTTGTTCCTAGCACCTTGTCAATCCAAGATGTTTGAAATAGGTAATGAGATTGTTCGATCACTAAGCCGTGACTATAGAAGTGAAAGATGCATGTCTTTCAAATGAAATTTTAAAAATCAAGGTATCATTTCAGGATACGCACAATAAAAAAAACCCCGTACAGTGTTAAACTACTAGTATACACTGTAGTGAAACCAAATATTGAAATTTTATGCTATATAGTGTCATGTTTTTGTTTTTTTTCAACCACAAGTTAAATCCCCTCAAATCATGAAAATTTAACCCAATGAAAATGACCAATTTTACATTAATTGAGAAGCTTACATGTATTTGAAAGCTTCCTGAAATGCCAGTAGTGTAGATTCAAGTTTGTTCAATTCATGGCCCCCAGGGGTAGGGTAGGGCCACCAAAGAATATCAAAGTTTACATGGAATGACAGAACCATGATTTAAATAATAGTCATATTTATTATACATGTATATCCATGTCCTTACCAAATTTCTGTTGCAGTTTTCTCAGCAACAACTCATTGCAGGTGCTTGATATATTAGCACACTCTTTGTTTAGGCATGCTAAGTTTAGGAATTATTTTTGTAGGAATCCGATGTGAACTTCCTGTTTATCCCTCCAATTCTGTCCATACTATATTTCCATCACAGTTTTCTCAACAACTATTCAAGGATGATGCTTGAAAGTTTAGCACACCTTTAAATTGTTTAGGCATGCCATATGTTGGGATTCATTTTTGTATGAATTTGATGTCAACTTCCTGTTTATCCCTGTGCTTGTCCGTACCAAATTCAAATCAGTGCGGGAATTATAATTACTAGTGAGCATTGGCTCACAGACTTCTTGTTTTCTATTTGATAGGAATGTCTTTTACTTTAATTAGATAAAATCCTTATTTAGTTCTTCACAAATATTCTGAGAATGTTCTTTTTTTTTAGAAGATGTGTAACCATTACTGTTTCTTGAGGCAAGATTTTTTTATTTATTTTATTGATATTTATTTCTACTAGAAGCAGCTACTAAGGAAGATTAAATGAAGGAAGATCAGGAAATGGAGAAAAAGCTGAAGAACAAGGAGGACAAGATGAAGAAAGAACAAGGTTATTACATATGTATCTCACAGTATTTTTACAAAGCCCTTCCAAATCCTGATTTATATAGTTTTTTTGTAAAACTTAACAATGAATTCTTAATATATAGTTCTTGACCCTTAAATATAAATAAAGAAGGTAACATTTTTTACAGGGCACAGTGACTTGCAGTGTGTGTACATGTAACATTATTACAACAACTATATCATGGGTCCATAATTTTGAGTAAGTCATTCATCAAGTACTTTATATGTACTGGAAACCATTTTTGAGGGGGATGAAGTGATGGAAGATAATGAGCCGGAGGGTGGAATGGAAGAGAAAGGGAAAGAGATAAAGAAAAAGGCAGAATGAAAAAGAACTAGGTAATTATTATCACAGTACCCCCCCCCCCTTCCCAATCAATGTATTTCTTCAAGTCAACAAAATTACCGGGTACTTATCTTATTCCTTCATAAATATTTTTAGAAAAAAATTAAAACATCAACTTTTACTGGATGTAGTGACTTGCATGTGTGTAATTAGCTATGGTCAATACAATGACCTGGTCAGCAAAAACAATCTATCATTAAGTCGAATGCGGACTGATGTTTTTAATACTAATTGTTAGGCCATTATTTACACATTGAATTGTCTGTTTACACATTGAATTGTCTACAGACTTTTCCGTTTTCAAGATCATGACAAGGAGCACACAGCGAATGTGACTGATCGGCAGAGGATGTTTACTCCTATATTGCACCTGATCCCACCTCTAATGTTTTTATAGGTCCGTGTTTGCTCTGCTCCTGATTTGTATTTTTTCTATGGACTCTTGAGCTTGATTACTGTTCATTGTCTCCATAATTACATGATTGTATGTATGATTAAGCGGTATTTGAGTACTCTTTACTGGAACCCAGGAACATCTTTATTTTTTTTTTACTTTGTGTCATCTAGTTTAAGATGATGAGATTGGACTGTATATAGGTAATTCATCATGAAAAATGTTACATGTTACATGACTATGCCTTGACTTTACCTTAGGCTGAAAATGTCGATCAAGACGCATTTCTAGTCTTCTTGGCAGGTACTTGTAAATCTGTTCAGTTAAGTTTTTTTTTCTTTTGTGTGAATTAAGCTGCACACTTGGAAACTTGTTAGTTGATGCCTCTTATAGGGGAAACATGTTATTTCTTGACAAGGCTTTAATAGCAGCAAGAAATATAAGTGAATTTGAGGTCATGGAAATATTTTAGGTAATGAGGAAAGTATGTATTCCAAATTCTAGTACCAAAACGTTTCTGTCAAAGTCAAGCAGGTACTTGAAAATGAATAAGGTACTAACCACTCTTTCCTCAGATAAATCACAAAAAAAGTTCAATATGCCCAGATTTTTCATGAATCTGGTAAAATATGAAAATTGACAAACTGAATTTTTGTCAGTCTAGTAGTTTATTGAATTGGATTTTTTTTTTTTACAGAACTTGCAATAGAAGAAAAAGTTTAGGGAAATTAAGAGGAAGAAATTGAAGATGAAAAGAAGAGCTCTGGGAGGAAAAAAGTGAGCATAGTGCAGTTATTTCTATGATTTTACATTTTAGTGATGGATTATCAGATGCAGTCTGAATCATAAACCTTATCTACTGATAAAGAAGATGGGCGAACAAGGCAAGTAAATGCCCATTGTGTGACAAAAAAGATTTAAAGAGTTAAATCTTAACCATGTCAAAATTTTCTTTGATATTTCATTTAACATTAATGTATACTTTATGTAAAATCTTTGCAATTTGCTACAATCTTATAAAGATTAATACTATTGATCTATGAAATAGCAGATACACACCAAAAGAGAGCAAAAATGATCATTTTTTCCTCCTATATCATACTTTTTGAATATGAGTATAGGTCTTCACTCCATATTTTGGTAAGATTATACTCGAAGCATATTTAAAACTTTTCCTATTTCTGTTGACAAAAACATGGTGAAATGACCTACTCTTCTAAAAAAAAAATGCACTTTTATGTCACAACAACATTCATATCTTTCAGAGAAATATTTGAAATCCATTTAGTCAAGAGTCACATTTTTAAACGTGATTTACATATGTAAATGTCCATTTTTGTCATGAGCTACATGTATGGTGTAGTGGTTAGCATGTTATTCTCTAAGAAAAAAACTGAAAAAATTTCATTGCTTGGGTTTGAACCCCAAGAATACCACTTTTTTTAATTATAGAATGATTTTTGCTTAAAGAATTTTCCACAGAAAAGTTTTGTTTGTAGTATACCTTTCAAAAAGAAGAACTTTACTCTCAATACTAAATTCTGTATTTGAATATGACTTTTATACATTTGAAGCTATAGGCTTTTTGCATGCCTTGTTCACCCATCTCCTTATGCACATTATGAAACATATAAAATTAATTACATATTACTGTTACTTGGTAAACTTTTAGTGTAATTAAAATTAGGTCTTTCATTTTACTCCATTTATTAATATATGTTACTAATGAGAGACAGATAAATATACAGGAAAAGCTAAATGAATCTAATTTGTGTAGCTTGTTGAATGTTTTCATTTATAATATTCTTACAAGTGACTTGCTTGGATGCATGTTTTTATTTTGAAAAATCCTTATTTGTCTAGATGCATGTATTCTTTGAGTACTTATATAGTCCTAACTGTAAAGATTCCAACCTTTTGATATGTAAATTATAGAAGAAGGTGAGATTAAAGTTTGGCTCTTTAAACTGGAAAGCTTGAAAGGAAATTAATGGCAAGGGCAAAAGAAAAGGATAAGGCCATTCCAAGTTTTTTCTATGTTTAGCGTCTGCGTGTGCCTTGGTTTTTGACACCCCATATCAGAAAAAACATACAGAACTAGTGCTAATTGTAACGGTAACCATTACAGATGTTCCCCAAACGGCTCCCCAATCCCTTATGATGCCCCATTCCCTGCAAGCTTCATTGAATTAGACAATACTTTTGTAATATAGATGGACACTTTATTTTTAAGGGTATTTTATTGGAAAACTACTCCGATATAGCCATATGGGTATTAGCCAATCAAATTTCAGCGCATGTGCTTGCACGTGCTTTCTACATTTAACACATAAATTTTCTTATAGTGTCTCACAATATATACATTTGTGTTAAATATCAAAGAATTTCATTGTTAAATAAAAGAGATATATCCATTTAAATATTAGCCAATCAGAATTCAGCACACGCACAGGCATGATGTTGCATTCAATTTTGAAAGTATTGTACTGTAGGAGCCCAATGTGCCTGTCTATATTATAAATTTCATCCTCTTTAGTTGAAAACCAAGGGAGTTATAGTCATTTAAAGTGTCAGCCAATCGGATTGCAGCACATCTGCATGCACGTGTTTTCAAGCAATATCCTATATAATATGTTGTAGAACCTTATAATATATACTTACATGTATATTTTAAATTTCAATGTGTTTTCTCAAAAAAACAAGGAAGTTATTGAGATTTTTGTATCGGCCAATCAGAGTGAAGTGCATGCACGTGGGTTAATGCTAATTTGACCAAGTCATTTGTCTAGACTACTAATGTAATTTTATATTCTGAGTTTCAAAGCAATTCATCAAGAAATATAAAAGTTATAGCTATATTAAGTATATCAGCCATTTCACTCATCGCACGCGCGCACACGTGCATGCAAATGACCTTTGTTCCGCACATCTACACAACATGCCTATTAACCCTAAAAAGGTTTCATCTCAATCGGATGAGTAGTTTCCGAGAACACTCGCGGACAATAAAGTACCAGAGAAGAAATTTCGAAAAAAGAAAGTAAAAACAATATGTTCCCAAACTTCATTTGGGGAACATAATAAGGAGTCCTGAAATCAGTTATTCTGGTCAAAATCTTTGAATTCTGTCAATTTCTATAAATATTTGTCTACAAGATGTCATATTAGGAATATTTTAAGCATTTAATACCTCGGTTTTGCTGAAGAATAGATCTTTCTAAGAGAAAAATAGATTTATAAAATCAAATCTTTTGAATGATGTTATTTTTACGACTATAAAGTCTTTGTTTTATTTTTTTGGTTTGTGTGTTTTTTGCGAATAGGTAGGTAGGTTTTTGAAAGATGGGTGGATGCTAAACAGAGAAAAAACTTGGAATGGCCTAACCCAAAATTTCAGAAAGTGTATGTTAAGTTGTGAATATACTGTAAACATATTACTTTTCACTGTGTATTCTTTTTAGCGCCTTTTGCGGAAAGCTATGTCTGCTAATTCAAGTACAACGCTAAATGTCATGCACAAATACACATAAACATTAACAAATGCGCTAAATCAAATCCCCGCTAACTTGCTCAATAATCAACTTCTGCCAAATAGCGTACACGCTAAATATTATACATTTACAGTAATTCAACAGGCTAACAAGTTCTAAAAGATATAATCATTTAATGCAAATCAAATACACAAAATGTTAACTAGCTATTTTAGGAATTTTAAATTTTAAATTTATTCTCGTCCTTTTGCTTTTAAAGAAGTGTTGTTGTGTCTTAATTAAGATTGGAAACTTGATCATTGATATATTTTATTTCATTTTAATGTAAAAGCTTTAATGGTTTTATTATATATGTATTTCAGTTCCATTTGTTAAGAATGTGTGGACAAAAGAAAAATAGCCATAGTAGAGTGCCAATGTGGAGTGGAATAAGTCAGTATGACTTGATCTTGGTCAATTGAAGTGTTTAAATGCCCCTCCAGAAAGCAGAACAATCTTTGAATTTGCAAGAAAGAGTATAAAATTTGCTGTTAAAATATCATAACAGCTAGACAAAGATTAAATAACAAGTACACGTTCATCTAAAGAATTCTTTTGTCCCAATAGTGATTCATGTGTAAGTACATCATGTACATGTAACAAGTGCTATAATGACCTAATATAAGTGTGTTTTAGGAGCATGTTGACTCTATTGTAAATGTATTGACTCATTATATGACCTCATTTATATATATCATTATATGAATGGTAGTGTAGTGAGTCGACATGTGTGTTAGCTGTGTAGGTTATGATGTGTGGTAATTTTGTGTACGTATGTAGTATGGTGACTCGTGTTGGGAATGTATAATTTTATGTGTTACTGGTATAGCTCATCGTGTGATTTAAAATGGTTATTTGTAATGTATATATTAGAAGTGTAGTGACTCGACGTGTGTTAATAGTGTTGCTTATTATGTGTGGTAATTTTGTTATTTGTTATGTAAGTTGTACATGTAGTATGGTGACTCGTGTGTTGGAAATGTATAATTTTGTGTGTGTTACTAGCTCATCGTGTGTTTTAGTATTGCTATTTGTAGTGTATATATCAGTAGTGTAGTGACTCGACAAGTGTGTAAGTAGTGTAGTGACTCGACATGTGTGTTAGTAGTGTAGTGACTCGACATGTGTGTTAGTAGTGTAGTGACTTAACGTGTGTTAGTACTGTAGCTTATTATGTGTGGTCATTTTGTTATTTGTTATGTGTGTTGTACATGTAGTATGGTGACTTATGTGTTTGAAATGTATAATTATATATACCCTCGCTCCAAAGGAGAGGGGGGGTATACTGTTTTATCCTTTTGTGTCTAGCTGTGTGTGTGTCTGTCTGTCTGTCCATAACAAATTTTAGGTCACATTTTTCTCAGCAACTACTCATTGCAGATGCTTGAAATTTTAGCACACTCTTTGTTTAGGCTTGCCATATGGTGGGATTCATTTTTATACAAATCTGATGTCAACTTCCTGTTTATCCATGTGTCTCTCCGTACCAGACATAACAAATTTTCGTCTCAGTTTTCTCAGCAACTAGTTATCGCTTGAAATTTTAGCACACTCTTTGCTGAGGCATGCCATATGGTGCGATTCATTTTTGTATGAATTTGATGCCAATTAACTTCCTCTTTATCTGTGCGTCTGTCTGTATCATATATAACAAATTTTCATTGCAGTTTTTTCAGTAGTTACATATAGGCATAGCAGATGCTTGAAATTTTAGCACATTCTTTGTTTTGGCATGCCATATTTTGAGATTCATTTTTGTACAAGTCTGATGTCAACTTCTGTTTATCTGTGTGTCTGTCTATACCATACATAACAAATTTTTGTTGCAGTTTTCTCATCAACTACTTATTGCAGATGCATGAAAGTTTACACACTTTTTGTTTAGGCATGCCATATGATGGGATTCATTTCTGAATTTGATGTCAACTTCCTGTTTATCTGTGCATCTGTCTGTATAATATGGAACAAATTTTTGTCAAAGTTTTCTAAGCAGCAACTCATTGCAGATGCTTGAAATTTTAGCACACTCTTGTTGAGGCATGCCATATTGTGGGATTTATTTTTGTATGAATCTGATGTCAACTTCCTGTTTATCCGTGCATCTGTCCATAGCTGAACTTGTGTATATTCACATGATAATGTATATTCACATCACGGTGGGGGGATTACCAATGAGCATTGGCTCACAGAACTTGTTTTATACGTGTTACTGGTATAGCTCATCATGTGAGTTAATGTTGTTATTTGTAATGTATATATCAGTTGTGTAGTGACTCAACATGTGTGTAAGTAGTGTAGTGACTCGACATGTGTGTTAGTAGTGTAGCGACTCGACATGTGTGTTAGTATTGTTAAGCTTATGATGTGTGGTAATTTTGTTATTTGTTATGTGTGTTGTACATGTAGTATTGTGAATCATTATGTGTTGGGAATATGTAATTTTATGTGTGTTATTGGTAAAGCTCCTCATGTGTTTTTATATTGTTATTTGTAATATACAGTGAAACTTGTCTTATCCGGATGTTGTGTACTCCAAAATCTTGACTAATACAGTGTTAACTTTAAGTCACCTGCAGTAGATTCAATTGTATTAAATGTTGTCTAATCCAGAATGTGGTCTAATCCAGCCAATTTCTTTGGAACCAGTGGTGTTGGGATTAGAAAAGTTTTACTGTATATATTAGTAGTGTAGAAACTCTACATGTGTGTTAGTAGTGTAGTGACTCGACATGTGTGTTAGTAGTGTAGTGACTCGACATGTGTGTTAGTAGTGTAGTGACTCGACATGTGTGTAGCTTATGATGTGTGGTAATTTTGTTATTTGTTATGTGTGTTGCACATATACATGTAGATAATATGGTGACTCATGTGTCAGGAATGTATAATTTTAAGTGTGTTACTTTTATAACTCATCGTGTGATTTAAAATTGTTATTTGTAATGTATATATCACTAGTGTAGTGACTCGACGTGTGTTAGTAGTGTAGTGACTCGACATGTGTGTTAGTAGTGTAGTGACTTAACATGTGTGTTGGTACTGTAGCTTATGATGTGTGGTAATTTTGTTATTTGTTATGTGTGTTGTACATATAGTAGGGTGACTCATGTGTCGGGAATGTATAATTTTAAGTGTGTTACTTTTATAACTCATCGTGTGATTTAAAATTGTTATTTGTAATGTATATATCAGTAGTGTAGTGACTCGACATGTGTGTTAGTAGTGTAGTGACTCGACATGTGTGTTAGTAGTGTAGTGACTTGACATGTGTGTTAGTAGTGTAGTGACTTGACATGTGTGTTAGTAGTGTAGCTTATTATGTGTGGTAATTTTGTTGTTTGTTTTGTGTGTTGTACATATAGTATGGTGAGTCATGTGTCAGGAACGTATAATTTTAAGTGTGTTACTGGTATAGCTCATTGTGTGTTTAAATATTATTTGTTATTTGTAATACATATATTTGTATTGTTATTTTGGTATGTGTGTTGTACATGTAGCATGGGACTCATTTTGTGTTGGGAATGTAGAATTTTACCTGCGGTAGTGTAGCTCATTTTTGTGTACTAATGTTATTTTTTTTGTGTAATAGTCATGTAGTGACTCAATATGTGTGTAAGTAGTGTAGCTCATTATGTGTTTTCATGTTGAGTTAGTTTAATTTAAAAGAGTGTTGACTTATTGTGTAAGTTAGAGTAGCCTCTTGCTATACGTAAGCATAATATAAAAGACACTTTTTTTATGATGTGTATACAATTATTAAAACAATGCTAAATATAATATTATATCAACCTCCATTGATAAACTTATGTTTGAATTTCTAATGTAATGTAAGCTGCATGAATAGATCATATTTTGACTGAATTTTGAATGAGCATAATTTGTGATTTTAATTTTTGAAATAAACAGAAATTTAATTTTCCTTGTATATGTTTATTTTTTCATTAGATTGCAGAATAGAACTAACTTTTGCAGTATTAAATATCTAGAAATGATTTTATGACCAGAATGGTGGATACTTATTTTACAGTTAAAGTATATCATTGAGGGAGTTAGCAAGATTCCAGTTGTTTTTGTTTTGAACATTTTTTATTGACAATATGTCAAAGGGATTGGACACAAGTTCCAAAAACTTAGATAGTCCTCTCCCATACATAAAATCTGAATAGCCATACAACATTTACAAAGTTTTACAATAATATATATATGTACATAGAAGAACAAAAACAATTGTTTTGTGAATAATGAAATAATATCAATTAATAGTCCTGGTCGAGAGGAACTAAAATCTTGCTAACTCCCGCAATGATATACTTTTAACTGTTTTATTATACTGATACAAACGTAAAATTTAGAGGATTCAGGTAGTATGATTTCATAGCAGGGATTAGCTCACTTACTTGCTAACACACGGGGATTAGTCCATTCACATATCATACCAATGTAAAAGTAAAATCTAGAGGATTACAGATAACCGGGAATTAGCTTTTGATGCAGGGATTAGCTCACTTGACTAATGCACGGGGATTAGTCCATACATAAAGATTTCTAGGGAATTAGTCACGTCTAACGATCTAATGTTATATAGAGAAAAAATCAGTAAAGGTATGATAAAAGTATATAACGTGTAATCCTGCTTGGGAGAAGGGGTTCTGGGAAGATCAAATTGGGTAAGAATTATAGACTGATGCAAACTGATGTACAGTGTATATAAAAGCAGATAAATGTTTGTCGGTCGCATGCTGTAAATTTTAAATGATAAATGCTTGACTTCAACTGTAGGAAATTCTCGAATGGAACGTTAAACAACATACAATCAATCAATCAACTGTAGGAAATATCCCTACTAAAATATCATGGTATAGTTAGATCAAAATAACGATGGCGGTTTTATAATGCACATTATTGTGAAATTACCTAAAAGACCTCTTACAAGAAACGGGGCGTACAAGGCGGGGACAATCCCCCGCTCTGAGATAATATTTTTCTCAATCTTTAAAGCTCACGGAAAAGTTATATTTTTCTAAAATTACGTTTTCAGGAATGGCATCTTCAACAGATTTGATTCATTTATTTTATTAAATGGTACTGGTTGATGATTTGTTTTAAAGTTTTCAGTAAAGCATATTTAGTGGGAAATTGGTTTTTTGGAGCCACACAAAATGATTTTTGAATATGAATGGGACAAGTTTCCTTTCTACATTAACGTTTACGTTCTAGCCTTGATATTAAACCGGGAAATACTATGATCTTGAGCATGCAGTATCGAAGGGGTACAGGGATGCCCCCTAGTGTTTTTTTATTCTCCCGAGAAAATAACTGTTGTTAATGTACATAGGAAATTTTAATATAAGGCCTGTTGTTATTTTTTCTTCCTTTTTGCTGGTTAAAAATC